AGCTTGGCCTGATTTATCATTGCTTTGATATTCATACGTACTTAACAGAACTGGAGTCTGAAATAGCTATATGTAGAATAGGCGCGGGGGTATGCCAAATATGCAAGGAAATATCACACTTAGATGTCAAGTACTGGTGTTTTCTCTTCTCTCTGCATCTTCGAAGTCCCAGATGCGGAAGATAAACCCTGTGCCCAAAGAAACTAAACGATTTTGTTTTGTCACATGGTTTTTTAGCGCTTTGGCATTTATGCCTCATAATGATAGCTCTATTTTCGCCTTGCAGTTTTCTTCTTTAAATCATTTTGTTATTACTCGTTGTCCTTTGGACAGCCATGCTGTGACTGACAACTTTAAATCTTTCTCTCTTACTATTGTGCAGTTATATTTTCCCAACCCATTAAATTTTGGATTTCTGACAAGTACCATATCTCTTTGATCAGTGAGCAGGATGACTATGAAGTTGTTAGGAAAGTTGGGAGAGGAAAATACAGTGAAGTCTTTGAGGGTATTAATGTTAACAATAATGAGAAATGCATCATTAAAATCCTCAAGCCTGTGAAGAAAAAGAAGGTAGACCATGAATCCTATTGCCTGCAATTTGTAACTTGTTATCCCCTGAACTTAAGCGATGACAGGCTACTGTTTTCATTCCGCACCTGTTTAAATTTCATAATTTCAGTGACAATTTTCATCTCAATTTTAACCTACGCCTCTCGCGCTGGTGCAGATCAAAAGAGAAATTAAAATTCTTCAGAGTCTTTGTGGAGGCCCTAACATTGTGAAGCTCCTTGATATTGTTAGAGATCAGCATTCAAAAACACCCAGTTTGATCTTTGAGTATGTCAATAACACAGATTTCAAAGTGTTGTACCCAACACTAACAGATTATGACATTCGATATTACATCTATGAGTTACTCAAGGTAAATTCTCATCTTGTTATTTCTGTGTTAGCATCTAGAATATTTTCTTTTTTAAAGAAGTCTTGGTAACCCAACTTGCTTTAGACTAAAAAGACTTGGTTGTTGCTGTTGAAATCTTGGCAATTTCAAAGCATTGATATCGATCAATTTTTAAGTTCTGGTGTCCAGATAGGTTTCTGTCTGTGCATTTTGAAGGCATGTTATATGTTTGCAAGGAACCTGTAGTGAATTTGACTATGATTGCCTAACTGTTTCTGTTTTCTGGATACAGGCATTAGATTACTGCCATTCACAAGGTATTATGCACCGAGATGTGAAGCCCCACAATGTTATGATAGATCACGAGCTTCGGAAACTCCGGCTGATAGACTGGGGCCTTGCTGAATTCTATCATCCTGGCAAGGAATATAATGTCCGTGTTGCCTCCAGGTAGCTGCAGATATATACTATAAACTTTCATTGTTGGTTCACGGTTAATGACCTTTGAAGTGTGGAATTCTGAAGTGGTAATTAGTGAAATTATAATATACTTTGTCACTATTTATTTTGTTTCTGCTTCTGCCCTTATTTTGAATCCAAATTTCAGTTGATTTGAACCACATTTGTGACTTGTGGTTTGTTCCTGTAGCTTGTTTATTCAGCAACCATATAAATTAAGAGCATTCTGATAAATGGTATTTATATTTTAACTGCACTATAGCCTTCTGTTGCCACATATTAAGTTGCCAGAATGAATGAATGCTTTTTCTACAGTGAATCATATGGCTTACTTGACATGTCTCTAGAGCATTCCATGTTTTCTTTGTGGCAGCCCTCAGCCCCTCACTATTTTCTTTTTCAACATTTTTTCAACTGGAATACAGGTACTTCAAGGGGCCTGAGCTTCTTGTTGACTTGCAAGATTATGATTACTCTTTGGACATGTGGAGTCTGGGCTGCATGTTTGCTGGAATGGTATTACCCACATGACTATTCTACCTATTGCTGCCATATCCTCCTTTAGTATTTCTGATGATTTCCTTATAGACATAACCAATATTAATTTGTTGATCATATGATGCTGATTGCAGATTTTTCGTAAGGAACCATTTTTCTACGGCCATGACAACCATGATCAACTTGTTAAGATAGCCAAGGTTGATATTCAGTCTATTTGTTCTTTGCAATGAACTAATCAACTATGTTGCTTACATTTCCTATGTCATGTAGCAGAGATTTCATGTTTATCTACTGCAACTGCAATCTGCTCAATTTAGTTGTTTTATCTTTAGTAAGAACTTGCATATGTACTTGATGCTATGTTGTTGGTTATATCTGCTGTACTTGATGCTATGTTGTTAGCTATATCTGCTGTGCTCGATGCTATGTTGTTGGCTACATATGCTGTTATACTGTTCATGGCATGAGACCATTTAGGTTTGTTAAATGCCTCTGCTAATTATTGTTACATCCATTTATTATCAGGTACTTGGAACAGATGGGCTGAATGCTTATTTGAACAAGTACAGAATTGAGCTTGACCCTCAGCTGGAAGCCCTTGTTGGAAGGTAGAGTATGCCGCTGCTCACCAGACTTTTGATGGAAAATATGTAATCATTTATGTGGATTGCATTACAAAAAAAAAAAAAAAAAAAAAAAAAAAAAACTCGACCTGCGGGGGGGTTATGACGGCCCCGGTTTTCTTACTAAGAAGAAGATCTTCTCACACAGATCGAGAAAACCTCGAACCCCGTCCACATCCCGACGCAGCGGTATCCTTGGCCAGTGAGAAGGCGTCTGCCGGACCTGGGCCGTGCGGCACTCAAGGCGCACACACACGGATCCACAGGCCGGACCAGACCCTGGGCCTGACCATTACTGCGCTTTGGCACATGTGACGGGCGAGGGGATTTTTTTAACCTCAGCTGAAATTCGCTCCCACAGGGAGTCGAACTCAGGACCTGAGGAGTGCCGCCGGGAAACCTAACCGTTTGAGCTAGGCACCCTTTGGCTGTGGATTGCATTTACACTCTTCTTTTTTGCCTTTTTGGGATGCAGGCATAGCAGGAAACCCTGGTCAAAGTTTATTAATGCAGATAACCAACACCTAGTGTCTCCTGAGGTGTTTGCTAATGCCCTTGCAGACCTAACTCATTTGATGGTGCTTAACTCTAACAGGATTCCTTTGTTTATATCTGTAGGCCATAGATTTCCTCGACAAGCTTTTGCGTTATGATCATCAGGACAGGCTTACTGCACGTGAAGCTATGGTAAGTTTCCCTGTGCTAATTTTGGTGACATGTAATTTGACACAAATTAAACTGGCTGCTCATTATTGCTAAATATTTGGTGTTGGTGTAAAGTATACATTTTACTAGTGCATATCTCCATCTCTGAACAAAAGAACTCTGGTCTTCACCATATCCTGATTGATGTGCATGCTGTTTTGGTGATTGATGTGCATCAATGCATGCTGTTTTGCTTAAGCACGTTTCAGAACTAGAGTTTTATTCATGTTGAAAGGTTTTAGCCCATACTTACTTGGAGGTGTAGATTGCGATGCCTTGTCTTATTCTCTTCTTATAATGGATGCTTTTATATTCTTGCAGGCACACCCATACTTCCAACAAGTGAGAGCTGCAGAGAACAGCAGGACGCGAGCATGACAGGCAAGTGCAAAGACTGGTGCTAACCGTTGATCAGATCAGCTGCTCTTGATGGAGCCATGCTCTTATCAGTGACTTGCTTCAGTCAGAGTATGAGATGAATAGTGGTTGGGGGTTTACTTGGCAAAAACAAAAAATAGCTATAGAGCCTGTTATACCCTTAAGTCAGATGCATGAGATGAATAGTGGTTGGGGGTTTATTTGGCAAAAACAAAAAATAGCTATACCGCGTCGAGAATAGACTGAATTATTCAGGTTGTGAGCTTTGGGACGTGATTGTGAACAATGACTATTCATGTAAGATGATTGTCATAAAAGGTTGTCTGTTGGCTGATTGTACTGTTGTATTGTTGAGCTTGTAAAGAATATCCCATCCTTTGTTTGGAATCCGTCTGAGTTCTTGAGGGCTATTTTCACGTATTATCTTTGGAAACATCGTGTTTGAGGTTTCCTTCTAACCCTAGGAAGGTTGAGACGAGAAAATGAAGATGCCTCGCAGAGTTTGGCTTCAATGAACTTGTGAGTTGTGACTTGTCTGAATGCCTGTGACATACTGCAACCTTACAAATACAGTCTGGATTTATGCATGCTAAAACGGAGAGCCCAAGAATACATGATTGTTGTACATCAAACCCTAGGAAGGTCTTGTGACTTGTCTGAATGCCTGTGACATACTGCAACCTTACATATACAATCTGGATTTATGCATTCTAAAATGGAGAGACCAAGAATCCATGATTGTTGTACATCAGACCGGAGATAAATGCATAAATTAGGGGGAGGCCTCTTGACGTTTCTCCCATTTATTTCCATACATTTTGCACACTCCCTTCTTTGTTAATGAAATGACATGTAGTTCTAAGTTCGAAAAAAAAACAGAGATAAATGGCGCCCTGTAAGCCCCTAAATTCACACCTAAGAACACAGGGTAAAGGAAAAAAAAAACAGAGATAAATGGCAGTTCTACGTTGTTCGAGGAAGAAAAAACAGAGATAAATGACTCCATGTAAGATCCCAAATTCACACTTCAGAACACATGGAAAGAAAAAAAAAACAGAGATAAATGGCTCCCTGTAAGGTCCCAGATTCACACCAAAGAACACAGGGAAAAGAAAATACTGAGCAAGCACAGGCAGGCATCACAAATCCACACAGAATTAATGTTCTTAGCCCATACAGAATTAATGTTTTTAGCACAACAGGCTGACAGCGAAGGATTACATTACATATTTAGATGAGGCAACACAACCGAAAGCAGCTGCAGTAACAGCAACAGCAGCTGAGACCCATTGACACGACACATAGTATATGTCAACCAGTCACTGATGAAGACGACAGTACTTGGGTGGATGACGACAGTTTTCTCTCTTTGTTGAGCTGAGCATATGCCCCTTTGTCTGAGGAAGCATATGCTGCTGCTCTGCTGCTTACTAATTCTTGAGGTGGGGGAAGCACTGGTAGAGGTCGTTCTTGGGATGCCTCGCCTCGGCATGCTCCTTGCACTTGGCCTCAGAGGTGGTGCAGATGAAAGTCTGCATGCAGACCTTGCACTGCGTTCAGATGGAAGCATGGTTAGTGCATTTGGATGTAAGCATTGTTCAGATGACCAACTGAGAAGTGAAATACCAGAACATAAACATTGTTAGGGTGTAGAGGAATGTAAAAAATTCAGAGTACACACATTTGGTCAACGAGAGAAATGGAAGCTACTGCGTAGTAACTAGTGATTCGCACAGCAGATAGCACCTCAATGTTATCAAGAAAGGGGTAACACCAGGACAGGGAAGCACCACAGGTTTGAGTAGTGATTATATTGTCTCTCCAGAGTCGAGATCGATTTTGAAAAATGTTACGGTTTTCCCCTTGCCGTTGCGCTCGCTATGGGGGCTAATCGAAATTGGGCTAGAACAGCCGGCTCGGGGTGTTTACTGATGTTCCTGAACAAGAGTGAGGCATTATTGCCCATTGACTGGACTCGTCGACACTATTTTTTTTTATAGCAAAGAGAGGTGTGCTTGCAGTTTAGGTTGAAGGACTGCGCTGCAAGGCGCACTGCAGCAGCCAATTTGGAACTGTAGGAGATCTAGTATGAATTGCAAGCAAGCGGCAGGTAAGTAAAAGTGTGGGTGTGCAGGGATGAATTCGTTCCCCTGCCGCCCCCCAATATATTGAAATGGGTGTGTCGAATTGAATCCCCTGCCCCCTTTTGTAACTAGAGAGGAATGAAATTCAGCAACAGACGTTACAGAGGGTGAGAGGGGCACCTTGGCAGCTCCCAAGCTGGGAGTTGAAGCAAGCAAAGCAAAGCAAGGTTCCTAATTCCTAATCCTACCCTAGGGGCGAAACAATAACAAAATCATAAGTACTGGAGTAATACTCTGCCATTCCACTGCTATCTACAGCTTGCAGGTGCATAGATACGTAGCAATAATAAGTAAAAGGGAGACAGGGCATGGTCGGGTCGGGTAAGCAGGAGCAGCAGCAAGAGAGGGGATGGATGAGAATCGCGTCGTGGGTGGCCACTGGCCGCGAATCCAGATGGAGTAGCCTGAAACCGACCGAAGTGAATCCGGGAAACCCCGCCTTGCCTTACCCTCAAATTTCGACAGGAACAGATGGCAAACAAGAGGATTGGGTACTGGGTAGGGTAGAGAGACAGATCGGGGGGGCGAGCGGCGGTGAAGAGAAGCAAGAGGGGTGGGGGATGGTACGCACCTGGATGTTCATGGCCTTCTTGTTGGTCTCCAGCTGGCTGCCTGCGAGCAAACACAGAGAGGAAATCGACGGAATCAGATCAGATGGGGATTGGTGAGCAAGGGAGGGGAATCCGGGGATGGACGGAAGAGATGGAGATGGATGGATACGTGCCTTTGGCGGCCTTGTTCTTCTCGGCGTTCCTCTCCCGCGCCATCTTGGACTTCTGGCCGTTGCCGCCGCCCATGGCTGAAGCTCAAGCTCCTCCTGTTCCTCCTGCGAGACCAAGAGAGGGGAGCCGGGGGGGTGCCGGTGCGCGTGGTTGGGGAAGGAATGGACTGGGCTGCTGCTAAGTATATAATAAAAAGATTTAGTTACGAGTAAATAATACTATACCAGTTAAGTATAGTATTACATATATAAGTATAAATAAATTTACAGTTTGGTTCTTGCTTAATGCTAATAGTATTGTTTTGTTTTATATAGACTTAGTTAATTAAAACTTAAACATATCTGGGTATCTAGAATTGTACGTATACTACTTTTGAGACGATGGGCAGGAAAGAAGAAAAAAGAAAAGAAAAGGGGAGCAGGCGAGGGCAGGTGGTGGATGGGAATGGATTCCTTCCGGCTTCCGCTTCCGCACGACGCAAATGCAGCCGCCCAGGCTTGACCGCCCCCTTGACCCAAGTCATAATAAGGTCCCGTTTCACGGGGCTTCTTCACCGGCTTCAAAAACTGTTTGGAGTCGTTTTCTATCAAACGGGGTAAAGTAAAATAACTTTAATGGTGAAGCCCCTAAAAACATGCGGGGTGGGATGGAGCAAAAAAAAAAAAAAATGGTTTCTCCGGCTCCTCCTCCAGGCCTCTAAAAATATGCTCTCACATGGAAGTCATTTTGTCAAACGGTTTACCAAAACCGCTTCAGCTCCACCGATGAAACTATTCGTGGAGCTGAAAAAAAAATAGCTTCAGTAGTGAAGTGAAGCCCTGTCAACCTAAATGCGGCCCACGAATCTCTGCCGGGCCCGTCCACCATCGGCTACGGCAGGGGGCCCGGCCGGCCGCACCGCCGTTGACGGCACAGGAGGAGCCGACTTGTTTTCCTCTCTCTTTTCCTCGTCATCATCTCAATCTAAATCCCATCATCACTCACCGTCACCGGTGACAAACCAAAAATGTTGTTGGGTAATAATCTGCTGATGCATGCCAGCATCGCTTCCTTCCATATCAACGCAGAGCTCTATAGCGACTGTACTACAAAAAATGCACCGACGCAGCGCCAACGCAGGCAGGCTGGCCAAGTCAACAAGGCAGTCAGAAATTGGTGGCTGGAGATCGCCGGAGGCCGGGCACACAGATCACCACCTCAGCCTCTGCTGTCCGTCCGCTACCCTGCCTGCCAAGTGCCAAGCCAACTGCAATGCACCCCCTCCCAACCAGAGAGAGAGAGAGAGAGAGAGAGCCAACTGTACTGCACGTGCACGCACGGCGTTGAAATTGGCCACCACGCCGACGACGCAAGAACCACCCCCACCCCTCTCCGCTCCTTTTCATCGATACCTTTCCTCGCATCTCTATAGGCCCTAAGCAGATTACCTTTAATTATTATCAGATTTATATCACAATATTAAGTGACCAACTACGTGTCCGGCCTCAACTAAATCAACTTCAGAGTTGACACGGGTCAAAATATTTCAACTTCGATCAAATTTATTATATATAAAAAACACTAATATTTATGGTATCAAATTAGTATCATCAAATGTTTTTTCATACGTACTTATTTAGTGTCATAGGTGTTATCCTTTGACGTCGTGCGCTAGCTGTAAAGTTGGTTAAACTTAAAAGTAATTTGATTCAGAACTATTATACAAGTTGATTTTTTTTAAGATGGAGGGAGTAGATTGTAGTCTTTGAGCTAAAAATACTCTATTGAGTGCCGCCATGGTCGGAAGAATAAAACGTGTGACTTGCCTCTCGATCGGTCTTCACTTGGAGATGAGACTACCAAGATATCAAATGTTTACGTACTTCACGTGATATATTGTACGACTTGTTTGGAAGGGTTGTTTTCAATCCAAAACTAGTGTAAAAACAGGTCCATAACTTTTTAAATTCTATATGAAAGACCGGTAAGCACAATAAAATTATATTGGTTTAGGCCATTCCAACCAGAAAAATAAAAATGCCACAAGAGGTGTTGGGGGCGTGCCCCGCCTATGGACACCCTATGTGGCTCAATCGTCGTCCTCATTCCTCGCAAGAGCGAAATAACGGCAGTTGGACTCCGGCGCACTCAGCATTTCGCTATAATGAGAAGTGAAAGGGTTGGTCGTGTGTGAAGAGAAGGATGAGTCGGGCCCCCGCCGCTTGCCGTCCCATTCTTAAGATCCCCTTTTTGCCATGGCGAAAGGAGGAACTTTGCGGCTGGGACCAGGTCGTACCTAGTTATTTTTCCTTTCGCCCTAGTAGCAGACCCGCTGACGGTTTTGGTTATTCGCTATGGCGAATAGCTGTTAACAGTTCGCTCGATCGTTTCTATAGATTTCGCAAAGAAGGGCGTGCGGTTGGTTTCGCCCGTTCGCCCAGGCGAATAGCTGTCAATAGGTTTGGTCGATCATTTCTGCAGGTTTCACCAAAGGAGGGCGCGTAGCCGGTCTCGGCTATTTGCTTGGGCGAATAGCTAGTAACAGGTTTGGTTGATAGTTTCCGCGGGTTTCGCCAAAGGAGGAGCCGCCCGTCTTCGCATGGCCGATAGTTTCTGTCACCGGGGGCACCACCTGGTAGGCTAGACAGGCGACATGAGGTAGAGCCGATCGGGCCTATCTGGGTTCGGCGTTACTCAGGGAAGGCGGGTACTCCGAATGGTGAACAAGCCCAAAGTCGCGAAGAATGTTCCTCGAATTTGTAGTAGTTGAGAGGGCATTTACGTCCTATGAAAAGCCCATATGCATGTATAAATAGCCCCATTGAGGGAATGTAAAGCAAGGAGGAACAAGTTCAATGAAATCGTCCATCTTATTTCGCTCAAGTCCTACTTTATCTACTTCTCGGGCTTGATTTCGCTTGAGCAGCAACCGGTGTTCGAAGGCCGTGGCCTAGAACAACATTGGCGCTCACCGTGGTTGTTGCTTGAGTTTATCATGCCACCAAAGAAGATGAAGATAACAACGGATGAAGCAGCACCATCCGCGGCTGTAGCCATTGTGGCGGCAGCGGAAGCAGCCACGCGAAATGATGCATCAACAGCTACGGAACTACCCGCACCGTAGCCACAGATGGATAATACCGCAACGCTAGGAGGGCAAGAGCAAACGCTAGAAGGTGATGTCAAAGAAGTTGAGGTCGACCAAAATGGCGATGAGGTCAAAGAAGATGAAGACAGCGAGATCACTGAGCAAGCAAGAAATCTGAAGACCCTAAATCAGTCCCAGCAAGACATCCTCAAATTCCAGAATGAGAAGGAGCAGCTGCTTAGGCAAGCCGCTGCCCGTAACAGATCCGAACAGACGCAGAGGACGATTAGGGAAGCCGAAATCCAGAGGGATAGATTGGCGAGAGAAATTCAAGGACTATAGGAAGCACGAGCAGGAGGTGCCATCCGCGCTGGCAGAAACATTATAATACCAGATGATAACCTCCCGGAAGTAGACGAAAGTGCATATGACCCCACTTCACCTTTGTCAAAAGAACTTCAGCTATATCCATGGCCGGCTAGCTATAAGCCTCGTATTCCGGTCTTCGACGGAAAGTCAAACCCGAGGAAGTTCCTCACGAGTTATGAGACCGCGTTAACATCAGCCGGGGGAGATGCTCAAATCCTCGCAAAGTCACTCATCATGGTGGTCGAAGACATCGCACCTGATTGGTATACTTTGTTGAAGCCGTTATCCATCAGGTCCTGGGGCCAAGTCAGAGCGGAGCTAGTTTCCACCTTCCAAGGATATCACCTAGGAACGAAAACAACGAGAGATTTGCTAAATTGCATTCAACGAGATGATGAATCACTGTCTGAGTTTTTGGAAAGATTCATTCAGACCAAAGCTTAGGTGCCAAACGTACCAGAGGAGACGATTATAGCAGCAGCCGTGGAAGGGTTGGCCATAGGCCAGTGTGCAGCTCACTTCGCCAGGAATTAACCCACCTCTGTAAGGGAGCTATTCGAGGTAATGAGACAATATGCAAGATCAGAAGATGACTTGAAGAAGTGAAAAGCGACAAGGAATTCATGGAGGCAAGCAAGCAAGCCCCGGGCTACCACCAACCCCAAGCCAGCGAAATATGAGACCATTCTGTGCAATCAACAATCTGCAAGAGCAGTCAGAGCATAACTCCTCCAAGGGCTGCCACCTGACCAACAATACAAAAGTTTTGATCAATCTCCACATGGCGAGCGAGGAGGACGAACTCCCCATGGTGGACGCGAAGGCAGAGGAAGGGGACGAGCCCCAAGAACACCATATTGCGCCGTTTGTGGCGAAAATGCAGGACATTTCATGAAAGACTGCAAATATAACAAAATAGCTAGAGAACTTAAGGAGAAAGACGAGGCCGAAGAAGTAGCAAAACATCTAATCATGTGTTCCACAACACTGGTCGTGAAACAATAAACAATCAGGGTTATAGTAGCCACTATTTGTCAGTAAACAGCAACGCTTTCCAGCACCCTACCTTTTCACACGGGTACAACCAACATCCGTACATCTAGCAGCAGCCGCCGTTTCTAGTATACTAGCATTTCTCCTAGATCCTAGGGTAGTCAAGCTGTTGCATCCTCGCAAGTTCAGCAAGAGCAACAACATTCAAGTCAGCCTCAGCCCGCAAAGTAAGAAAATACTCAAGAACATCAAGCCATGAACAATATCTTACCGTCGCGAGGCCATATATTTGCAATCACTGGTGGATCAAACCAAGAGCACAAAAACGAGAGCTAGAAGAGAATTTGAAAGAAGTGTGTACACCGTCTTGCCAAGGGTACCGCTCAACAAGGCGCCTGGTCAATGGTGCCCATTACTTTTGATGAAAATGACTTTCAAGTGCAAGATTTTCCACACACAGACGCCTTTGTAGCAATAGTGAATATAACTGGTTCACTGTACACAACATCCTCATCGATAACAGAAGCTCAGCCGACATCTTGTTCATAAAGTCTTTCGAGCAGATGAACCTGGACATGCGAACGTTGGAGCCAGCCGGGAACTCATTGTTCGGTTTCGGCGGGAAAAAGATCGACGCCATCGAAGATGCATTCCCCTTTCAGCATGAAGATGCATTCCCCTTTCGTCATCATCACAGTACACGGAGATCAAGCTGCATCTAGGCGAATAGAGGGCAAACCGATCCCAGGTTACAACCTTGTAAATGAAGTTTCCAAGAAACCGCCTAACGAAGTAGACAGTGAAAACAAAGTTGAACCAAGGGCTGAAGTAGCCGAAGACATTCAGAAAGCCCCATTGTCAAAATTTGTGCCAGAAAAATGCGTGCATGTGGGCTCTGATCTGATAGAGCACGAAAAAGACAGGCTGTTAGCTTTTCTCCACGAGAATCAAGACGTATTCGCCTGGTCGGAAAAAGACCAGAAAGGTGTCAGTCGCAATCTCGCGCAGCACAACTTGAATTTAGCAAAAGGGGCAAAACCCAGGAAGCAAAAGTTGAGGAAGATGTCCACAAAGAGAGCGGAAGCAGCGAAAGCGGAAGTGCAGAGGTTACTCGACACCGGCGTCATCAGGCCTGTTCAGTACCCAGAATGGTTGGCCAACGTTGTAATGATCAGAAAGATAAGCGAGAAATGATGAATTTGCATTGATTTCACCGATCTGAACAAGTGTTGCCCAAAAGACCCATATCCGCTCCCAAGAATTGACAAGTTAGTGGATATCGTAGCCGGGTGCAAAGTGATGAGTCTATTAGATTGCTTCTCCGAGTATCACCAAATCTGGTTGAACCTGAATGACAAAGACAAAATGAGTTTCATCACCCCAGGAGGAACTTATTGTTATCAGTGAATGCCTGAGGGACTGCGAAACGCAGGCCCTACCTTTTCCAGGATGGCAAATGGTGTTTTTGACAAACAGAAAGGCAAAAATCTCGTTGTATATGTCGACAACATCGTGGTCAAGAGAAATAAGATGAAGACTCATATTTAGGATCTTCAGGAAACATTGGAAAACCTACAAAAGGCCGTCTTTAGGTTAAACCCAGATAAATGCATATTCGGCATCAAGAAAGGCAAATTGCTCGGTTGTCTAGTATCGGCAAGAGGCATCGAAGCAAACCCTGAAAAGATAACAGCAATAGTAAACATGAAACCGCCAGCAAGCAAGAAGCAGGTACAGAAGCTTACAGGAAGGCTAGCAGCATTGAACAGATTCATCTCGAGATCAGCTAAAAAAGGCCTACCATTTTTTAGAACTCTCCGAAGCTTAGATAATTTCGAATGGGGGCATGAGTGGCAGCAAGCTTTTGACGAACTCAAAACTTACTTAACCAAGTTGACAACCTTGTCTAAACCGTCACCATCTGCAACATTGCTGTTATACCTAGCAGCATCGCCAACACCCGTTAGTGTTGTGCTGGTCGAAGAAAAGGAACACAAAAACAAGATGAAGCAATTCCCGGTATATTTCGTATCAGAGGCCTTGTCAGGAGCCAAACTCAACTATGTCGAGCTAGAAAAAATAGCATACACTGTGGTCATGGCAACAATAAAGCTAAAACATTATTTCCAAGCTCATCACATCAAAGTCCTTTCAGCGCAACCGCAAAAAGCGCTATTTCGCAACAGCGAAGCCATCGAAAAAATCAGAAAATGGGCCACCGAGTTAAACGAATTCGTGGTGGACTTCGAGCACAAATCTGCTATCAAGTCTCAAGCACTCATAGATTTTATCACAGACTGGATCCCAGCAGCTTATGACACAACAATACAATTTGAAGAACCAATTTGGACTGTGTGTTTACACCAAAATTTGGAAGAAGGGTCTCAGGGGCTCGAGAGCTCCTGAAATCATGTCAGCAAGGGATCAATTGCGTGTAGACCGAAAACAGCTGATTCGGATGCAGCACTAGAATCGGCTTTCTTCAGATAGCGCCAACAGATAACGACAGAGGCTACGATCAACGCTGGGACGAGACATGCTGGACTCTACAAAAAGGGAAAGATTAGAGTCCAAGTAATCTTAAATTAGGAATGTTTTCATTTATGCCAAAGATTGTAACAAATTGTGCTCGAGTAGGATTCATGTTTAGACTCCGGGTATAAATATTAAACCCCGGCTATTGTAAAAAAGACACAATCGATCCAAATACAAGTCAATTACTTTTTTCGGCTCCGGGCACTCCTTAGGAGTAGGAGTAGAGTAGATCTCAACGAGTTCTTCAGCGAGTATGGCTGCATCGATCCGGTCGACCTCCACTGCTTGTCTCTGTCATGGTTTATACCTCTGTTCGTATGGCTGCATCGATCCGGTCGACCCCCACTACGACTCTGGTATGGGTAGTTATCGACTCTTGTCTAGTTCAAGTATGGCCTGTGTGATTCTACCTCACACCCCACTGCTCAAACTAGATCAAGGTCAAGTTATCGGCTCTACCTTAAAATGGTAGTCTTTGGTAGATTCATTAAGTTACCGATATTGCTTATTGCTTTCATTGTTTATCTAATTACAGCAATATCACTCTGCCTGATTGAGATTGATTTGGATCGGCCTTATATCTTATTTAACCCATCGTTTGCTAATCTAGAACTGATCTAATCTACACCCTAAATAATGAGTTATGTTTTTATCGGCTGTTTTATATCAATCTTAATCGTGCATAGCGTGTGGTTAATGCATGTTGCGTCTTGAGTAGATCTATTGGCTAGCGAAAACCATTCCATGGTCCGTTATCACAGCCTGTGTGATTCTGCGTCTCACCCCACTGTTAGCACCGTGGAGTGGGGATCGTTATTTAGTAGATCTATTCCTGGTAAGGCATGACCCTAACTGTGCACTATGCCTGAATCGGCTGTTTTAGCCGATATCGAGTGCTTTCACGAACAGTTTGCATCACAAGACTGTTGAAGTAAAGATAGGTTGAAAGATGTGTTAGCCCCATGATCTTATTATTGTATTACGGCCTGCATGATTCTGCCTCATGCCCCACTAATGTTAGTAATGAGTTAGGGTCATCGAGTCTATTGTTATTTCTACGGCCTGCATGATTCTGCCTCATGCCCCACTGGTTATAGCGATAGATGATATCTAACATGTTCATTAGATTCATCTTTATCAAACAGTTAAATGGTGTTGAATTGTTTCTTTATATAAAAAGGGGTTCGGTTACTTGTGATCATTGGCTCAGCATAAACCGATCATTGTTAATATCTTATTGCCATTGATTAATGTTTATTTAAATAATGATATCTATATTGTATGATAACCGTTTCTTCTTATACAACCCAATGAGCTTTAACCGATTTATTCTCATGAATATGTCGGAATCGACTATTTAGTCGATCTCCTTTCATATCGGCTCTCATAGCCGCACATTCGGGACTATCTAGCAACACCGGCAAGTTCTGCCCTTAATTACTGAT